TTTTGTTGTTGAGGTTTTGCAGTATCTTGTAGATTTTAGAGATTAGATGCTGATCAGATTTGTCGCAGTCAAAAAAATTTTCCCGGTCTGTAGGTTGTCTTTTGACTCTTTTGGTGAAGTCTTTTGATGAGCGTAAGTGTTTGATTTTTGGGAGCTCCCAGTTATCTAGTTTCTCTTCTGGTGTTTGTGCATTGTTATTGTTTGTATTGTGTTTATGCCATGTATTGGGGTGCCTAGCGTTGTCCCTATTTTTTCTTCCAAAGAACATTCTTAATTGTATGCTTTCCAGTGTTCCTTCTGGAACTCTAAGTGTACAGACTGTCCAAAGGAGAAACAATACAAGGACCTCACTCAAAAATAAAAACTGAAACACGTGTAATAAGATACTAATCGCTGTACATCATTTTAACACAAAATTATTGAAGTTTCCTTGTGAGCAGGACTCCTATCTTCCGGTTGGAATGAACTCTTTTTATTTCAGCTGGGACAGAATTGAGGTGAGGATCTTAGGGAAAGGTTTCCCAGGCCTGTGCCGGGCAGTCTGAGCTGAGCTTATAAGGTGTAATCAGAAACCTAAAATTTCTAAATTCACCCTTTGAATTCTTCTGTGTTTTCTGTTTTTATTCTTCTTAGTTCTTTAGAAAAGTTCTTTTTAAAAATTCTAATCTTATCTTAATTGAGCCAAGAGCAGAGTTAGTTTTTGTTTCTTGTTTTCCATTTCTCCATCTCAAACAGGCAACAAAGAAAAGGGGCTGTAGGATTGGAAGTCACCCACTCCTTGTGTGACCTGAGATGACCCTAGGCACCTTTCCAGGGTGGGAGGCGGGGAGAAGGCGTGTTGGCGGTTCTTCTAGCTCTCAGATGCTGATTTAGACGTTTGCAAGACAGGGAGTACCTTTCTCCTTGGGGTGGGGTGGCAATGACAAGACTAGCTCTGGAGAGCAGGAGGAACTGAGATGGGACTGTGGGCACCCAGGAGCTATAGAACAGGGTCTCCTTCTTAGTTGCTCGTTAATATTACCTGGGAAGCTCTTCAGCTCTGACACCCCGGCTGTGCCCTAGACCCGTTAAATCAGAACATCTAGTGGTGGCACCCAGGCATCCATCTTTTTAAAGTTCCCCATGTAGTTCCAGTGTGTAGCCACAGTCTATAGGATTGGAGCCAACTCCAGACAGGGGCTCCTTTCTAGAAGAACTATGACCTCACCCTATAAATAAATGTTGCCCTTTTGAATTTAGCATTCTGATTTGAATAACTTTTTCCTTGAATCTTCATTCTTTTCTCATTAGAGTCATCTCATTGAGTCACTGATTCTTCTCCATAGAGTCTCACCGTACCCATCACAGAAAGCCTCTCCTTCCTTTGTTTCCAGGGCCCTGCAGCCCTGCTTCTCTTCCGGCTCACCTGACCACTCCTTCTCCATATTCTTTGCTGGGACCTCTTCTTCTGTCCACCCTTAATTGAAGGAGCCCCAGGTTCTGCCTTTGCTTCTCTTTCCTTTTCAATCTGACCTCCTTTTCTCTCGTGATGGCTCTCTTTCTCCCAATATTCACAACCATCTGTTTGTGAATAACTCCTTGACGTGTGCCTCTGACCTTCATGTCCCTGCTGATCTCCAGATCCACACTGTCACCTGCCTGGAGAAGTTCCTGAGCTCCTTCCCCTCCCTCTCTCCTCTCAGCCATCTTTCCATCCATCCAATCATCCCATCAGTAATTTAACACAACTGTGCCCTGTCAAGATAGACAAGACATGGTAGTCCCTGCCATGGCAGAGTCTCCACCAAATTGGAAATACAGACACACCAACAAATAAGTTCAATACAGCGGGAGAAGTACAAGGCATTACAGTAGCACCAAGGTGGGGAGGTGGGGTGATCAACTCTGTGGGTAGGCAGAGGAGAAGTTGAGCAGGAAAAGCTTCTCTGGAAAGGTGAAGATGCTGGGTTAGATTTCAAAGGATTAGAAGGTCATCAGGGCACTGGTGGGCATAAGAAGGTGTAGTGTGCAAGGAACTTCAGAAGTTCCGTTTGGCTGGAGCAAAGAGTTGGATTGTGGAGGGACAGGGGCAGGGTGGTGTTGAGAAGAAATTGGAGAGGGAGACGGTGATCTGGTCATAGAAGGCTTCCTGTGCCATTCTGAGCAGTTTGCACTTTGTCAACAGCTTATGAGGTATTAAATGATGAGCTCATTAGGGTTTAGAAAAGCCTTTCTTCCTTGACTGTAACCAGGTGGAGGACAGATTGGAGGCTTCCCAGTGGACATTTCAAAGACTAGCAACATGATGCTTCTGAATTCTCCTCCATGGTTGTTATTGCCAGTCTGCTTTCCAAACTCTGAATAGTCTTAATCTGCTAAGGCCCCTGGGCCAAATGCCAGGAAGTCCAGGGACAATGCTGATTCCTTCCCAGCTTCCTTCCCACTGGCTGGCTGGTTAGTTGGTGGTTGGTTGATTTGCACAGGTTTTTTGCATCCATTTCTATGCCTCAGCTCAGACCTAACTTTTCTATCTTATTTCATCCTGTACACTGTGGTTGGAGTTAACTTCCAATGAAATACAAATACGTTTGTTACTCCCTGTTGGAAAATTTTTAATGGTTCTCCATAGCATCCAGAATAATCCAAACTTTTTATCCTTGCTTTTAAAACATCTACATTTTGGTGCCCGGCCTGCCTACTTTTCCAGCTTCCACTACTACCTCTCTCCTTTCCTGGCCTCATGTCCTTTCAACTTATCTCTCAACTCACCCTTATGGGAACAAGGCCTGTATAATTCCTACCTCCGTATCTTTGCTCATGCAGTTTCCTCCGCTGGAAATGACCTTCTCTATCAAAGTCGACTCATCTTCCATTTCTCTTCTACTTGGAGGCCATCCAAGTCTAGTGGTTAAGAGTATGGTTTCTAGAGCCCAGTTTCCTGCTTTTGAATCCAGGCTTTGCCAGTTATTTGCTTTGGGCAATTTCTTTAAAGTGTGCTTCCGTTTTCTCTTCTGTGATATTAGGAATGTTAATATTAGTACCCATCTCACAGGGTGGTCGTGGCAATTACAAAGCACTTAGAATAGTGCCGAACACAGTAAGTCATTGATAAGTATTAGGTGTTTAGTTACTGCTGCTGTTGTTATTTCCCCCTCACCCCCATAACACCACTGTTGCTTTGGTTTACCTTGCAGTTATTGGCCTGATACTGTATTTGTGAATGTGTCTGGCTTCTTCACTATATCAACACTGCCTAAAAGTCAGAAGGAGCCCTAGTGGCGTAGTGGTTAAGAGCTATAGCTGCTAACCAAAAGGTCGGCAGTTCAAATCCACCAGCTGCTCCTTGGAAACACTATGGGGCAGTTCTGCTCTGTCCTGTAGGGTCGCAATGAGTCAGAATCGACTCAACGGCAATGGGTTTAGTTTGGTTTTAGAAGTCAGAAGGAGTCCCTGGGGGGTGCAGACAGTTCATGTGCTCGGCTGCTAACAGAAAGGATAGCAGTCTGAGTCTACCCAGAGGCACCTAGGAAGAAAGGCTTGGTAATCTACTCCTGAAAAATTAGCCTTTGAAAACCCTAGGGAACACAGTGTTACTCTGATACACATGGGGTCGCCATGAGTCGGAGCCCACTTCACGGCAACTGATTATTATAAGTCAGGAGTTACATCTGATGTACATAAATACCTCCCCTCAGTATAAGTGGCGCAAAGCTTCGAATATAGTAAACACTCAGCTGGTGTTTATTAAAATTGATCTTTGCTTCCTAACAAAATGCAAAAACTTTGAAGGTGAACCAGATGCAGATTCAGAGCTGACATTAAGACCAGAAAGTGTGAGGCAGGTTGCCCCGAGGTCAGATCTTACTCTGCTTCTTGCAAACTGCAAGAGGCACCCTGGAGAAGCTCTTGTCTCTCTCAGGTGTAATCCCTAATAGTGTGCCTTGATCGCATTATCTGGTTCAGGCAACTGGAGAAAGGATGCTCTAGGCACCTTCCTTTGCTGCTCGTCACGCCTTTAGAGCACAGCTGGGTGGTAAGCAGCCCATTAAAGAACGATCTTGGAGTTCTTTGCCATCTTCAGCCAGACAAACGTCGGAGGTGAAGAGGTAATTCGGGTCATTACGGGGCCATCATGGCACGTTTTCTTTCAAGGTCTCGTGGATAACGTGTGTTGGGTGCCTTGACTCCCTCTGTGTTTTCAGAAATTAGAAGACGGGGTTCCAAAGATCCTCTGGTCAAGGCGCTTCAGCTGCTGGACAGCCCCTGCGAGCCGGGGGAGAACGGCCTGAAATCCGAGACGCTGGCCCGAAGACAGAGCTCCAAGGACCTCCTGGGGAAGCCGCCTCAGCTGTACGACACTCCTGAAGGAGGCCCGCGGGCGGAGGCGCGGCCCGGGGACGGCCGGCTGCCTGAGAACGACGAGAGGCCGGCGGCCGAGTACGAGCAGCCGTGGGAGTGGAAGAAGGAGCAGATTGTGCGCGCGCTGTCAGGTGAGCGCGCGCTGTCAGGTGGGCGCGCGCTGCCAGGTGAGCGCGCGCTGCCAGGCGGGGGCGCGCGCTGCCAGACGGGAGAGCGCGCGCTGCCAGGCGGGCGCGCGCTGCCAGGTGGGCCGGTACATTCATCACACGCTGGCCAAACGCGCCCTGCCCTCTGGCTTTTCAGCCAAGCAGGTCTTCCTTCTGCTCCTCACTGCACGGATCTTTTTTCCAAGGGCCTTGATATCCGGAAATAAGCACTGGGCTCTGGTTGGAAGACCAGGTTGAGCTCTTAACGTTGCATTTATTTTTTATTATTTTCCTTTCTCTTTGCAATGTGCTGTTGTTTTGGAAAAGCCTTAAAGGGCTATTTTTTTTTAAAGCTGACTATTTATGTCGCCACCGCTGAAGCCATCAATTTGGGAGCAACCTCTTCTAACTCTTACTTGATGCTACTCCTGAAATCTGTTAAAATCTCTATAAAATGGCAATACTGGATAAAATGGATTACAGGTAGAGGTTGCTGGGAAGCTGAATGAAGCGGGCTTTTTTTAGCAAAAATCCTCCTAAAGGAATCAGTTTTTCAAGCGAGAATTTTAAAATAACTTAAGAGAAAGTTGATAAGTAGGTTGTCAGTAGATATTGGAGTTAATCCTTTTGCCTGCTTCCCCGAGGACCTAGTTTTTCTCCTTGGCTGGCCACATAATTTCTTCTACCTTTGATTAAAATTTTAGGGATATCTCTTCCCTTTAACAGTAAAGCTAGGTTTGCAATTAGAAGTATAGGAATGTAAAGGGATAATAGAGGAGTCCTGGGTGGCGCAGATGCTTAATGTACTGGGCTGCTAACGCAAAGGTTTGAGGTTTGAGCATACCCAAAGGTGGCTCAGAAGAAAGGCCTGGTGATCTGGTTCCAAAAAATCAGCGATTGAAAATCCTGTGGAGTGCAGTTCTCCTCTGACACACACAGGGTCACCATGAGTTAGAAGCGACTTGACAGCAACTCATTAGGTTTTAGATTAATATCTTTGATAGCAAACATCTGAGTCAGTTTTAGTTGGGTTTTGTGGGGGGTTTTTTGTTTTGTTTTGTTTTCTTCCTTCCCCAACAAATCCCTGTTGGGCATCTGCCGTTTTCTCAGTACTATACTAGCTGTTTCTCATTTTATTCCTTTATTTTCTCTCCTGAGTAGATGTCATAGCATTTTTTTTTTTTACGGCATTATTCAGTAGTTTCTCTGTTGATTTTTCTTTTTTTTTTCTAGTAAAAACTGTTCATTTGGTTTCCTAGAACAATACATACTCTTGCAAGAAATCATCATCTGTCACTGTGTTTCTTCTTTTATTCTAAAAATATTGATACGAAGAGTTTTTCAGGAGTCCATGCTGAAATACGTTGAAGTGGTTTCCTCTTATGTTCTAAAACTGTTTTATACTGATGACTGTCTTACAGAAAACGTGGCTTCACGTGGGCTGCTAGCAGTGGGATTTGATCTCAAAGCTAGCAGGAGGCTCCGTTCTGCCAGGGTGTTTTATAGATAGTTTGCATTAAAGGGGAGAAATGGCTCTTTCCTGAGCTGACACAGGCAAGAAGGTTTTTCCTTGGAGGTTTGCATCGATCACTTCAGTGGCCTCTGATGTTAAACGGAGCCTTCCTTCCAGTCCAGTTTGAAGGATCTGAGCGACCTTCCGCCAGGGAGGAGCCTGTGAGGCAGCACCACCGACAGAAGAGCTGGACCCAGAAGATCTTGAAGCCAACCCTCTCCGACCACAGTGAGGGCGAGCGAGTGGACCCAGCCCTGCCCCTGGAGAAGCAGCCGTGAGTCCTCTGTAGACACTTGTACACAGCAGACGGGAGCTTTTGACAGCCTCGTATTGGGGGTGGCTTTAACAAACACATTTATTTTCTCACAGTCAGGAGGCTGCAAGTCCAAATCCAGGGCACCCGCTTTAGGGGTGCGGTCTCTCTCTGTCTGCTTTGGGGGAAAATCCTTGCCTCTTTCAGCTTCTGTGGCACCAGCATTCCTTGGTTCCTCCTTGGTGATCCCTCCGTGGCCCCTACCTGCCCTCCTGCCTTTGTGCTTGCAGCTGTATCTAATCTGCTGCTTTCATAACTCAGAGGTGACTAGGTTTAGGACACACTCCACACTGTATGGCCCCATTAACATAAAAAAGAAAACCCTATTCCCAAATGGGATTACCTCCACACCACAGGGATAGGAGTTAGGATCCCATCACATGTTTTGGGGGGACACAATACAGACACTTTCCTGGGCGGGGCCCATTAACGGAAACCCATTTTTAAAGCCCAGGGCTTTGAGCAGAGCATAAAGGGCGCCGCATCACAAGAACCTTATTTTGAATTTTATTCTTCTGTACAGAGTGAACACTTTCAGAATACACCGGCCCCGCTAACTCACTTGTAGGATTGGTGGGCTTTGTGATCCTGGATTACCCAGGACCGCGTGCCGTCCTTTCTGGACGGGAAGCGGGACCTAGTTTAGGCTGTTGAGCATATCCGCCCAGAATTCATCTCAAATAACGCTGCATGGAATCGCGCCCTGCCTTGATGTGTATTTTGACGCCCCTGGTACTCCCCACCCCTGTTTTTCAGTTGGTATCATGGTGCCATCACCCGTGCAGAGGCTGAGAGTCGACTACAGCCCTGCAAAGAAGCTGGTTACCTGGTTCGGAATAGCGAGTCAGGGAACAGCAGGTACTCCATTGCACTAAAGTAAGTATTTAAGCCCCTGGGCTTTCCCTGTCTCTAGGAGAGAGGTACAGGGGCCCTGGTGGCGCAATGCTTAAAATGCTTGGCTGCTAACCCATGGTCAGTGGTTCACACAACAGCCACTCCCAGGGAGAAGGATATAGGAGTCTGCTTCCATAAAGATTACAGCATTGAAAACCCTATGGGGCAGTTCTGCTTTGTCCTGTAGGGGCGCTGTGAGTTGGAATAGACTCGACAGCAGTAGGTGTGTGTGAAGAGGGGTACAAGGAGCCCTGGTGGCACAGTGGTTAAATGCTCGACTGTCAACCCAAAGGTCGGCGATTCGAACCCACCAGCTGCTCCATGGGAGAAAAAACCTGGCTATCTGCTCCTGTGAGGATTTCAGCCTAGGAAACCCCTGTGGGGCAGTTCCGCTCTATCCTATAGGGTCACTATGAGTCAGACTCGATGGCAAACCAGCAGTGACAATAGGATGGGTACACTGTGACAGTCTTTCCAATCATGGGTGGATGACCAATCAAAAAACATATGATTTGAAGGTGCCCACATTGCCAGAAAATAAGGTACATTTGCTTATTAGGCAGCAGAATGTGAAATGCTCTGACTAGAATGCAGAATTGGTATTGGGTAAACGCCCGAGGAACTCTCAGGATAACGAGGATCCTGCCTCTGAGTCCCTTTCCACTTTTCGTGAGCTGATCTAACAGCAGGACCTCTCAGTAGAGCAATGATTCCTAGTAAAAAGGATAATTCCTAATAGGATAGTTCATTTGTTCTTTTATTCCATAGTCCTTTGAACTTCAAGAAATCAGACCCCTTGATTGTCAAAATGCCAACGGTAATTTTGATCCTACTTTGTTCTGGTGAAGAAGGAAATGCTGTCTGGCCCATCACTCCCCCTGTCTGGGTGCACACAGAAAACGCATTTCTGCCTGCTAGGCCTGGTGCACTTTCGATCATGGAAATTCTCGTTGCCCTGCGCGTTCAGTGGTGCTATATTGGAGGATCATTGTCAAGAGCCCTAACAGCGTTTCCTTCCTGAGGAAGCTGAGCCCCTGCAGCTGAAACAATCAGACTGGAGGGGGAAAGAGGTGGAGGGGGGAGTGTTTGAGCACTGTGGCTCAGAAAATGGGATAGGCCGCCAGATATACAATACCAGGAATACTTTTGCTCTGTTTCTGAAACTGATGCTTGTGGATTAGATCTCCAAGCCTTCGGTGCCAGCTGTCATTATACACAGCTAGGAACGGCCTTTCCAGACATGGGGGGACACAGGAGATTTTTTTGGTTTGTTTTGTTTTAATTCTTGTGTTCCTTTTGTGTTTGTTTTTATAATTTTTTTTTTGAGAAAATATACACAGCAAACTTACACCAATTCAGTTTCTGCATGTACAGTTCAGTGACATTGATTACAGTCTTCAAGTTGTACAACCATTGTTGCAATCCTTTTCCAAATCATTCCTCCACCGTTAACCTAAGTTCACGGCCCTTTAAGCTTCTCATCTAACCTTTCGAGTTGCTGTTGTCAATATGATCCTGTATGGGTACTTCATGAATATTCATGTGTTCCTTTTAGAGGGAGGAGGAGGAAGGCTCACCTGTGTCTTTTAGCTATGGTGAGGAGGGTGAGTTTAAACCTCACCACAGTGGCCGGGTTCTTGGGCTGAAGCACTGGTTTGGCAGTTTGGGGGCAAGTAGGGACTTCCTTTTTTTCATTTGTTAGTTTTTCTTCTTGGTCCAGTACTTGATGACTTGTATCAAGATAAACAATTCAAGGATGACACACATTTAGCCGAGGGCTGTGAAGCTTCAGAGAGCTCCACTGGGCTGTTGGATGGCGAATGCATTCTGTTCGTACAGAACAATTCCGGAAAGGGATGAGAGCCCATCAGCCTGTTGTGAACCTGACTGGGATGGTTCCCAGCGGGGAGGCTCGTGCATTCATGTCTCCTCACGTTTTTGTTTTGTTACAGGACTAGTCAGGGATGCGTCCACATCATAGTGGCTCAGACCAAAGACAACAAATACACGCTGAATCAGACGAGCGCCGTGTTTGACAGCATCCCCGAAGTGGTACACTATTACTCCAATGAGAAGTTGCCTTTCAAAGGGGCAGAACACATGACCTTACTCCACCCTGTACTCAACAAGCTACACTAAGGGTCAGCCCCCAGCAGCTGGGCCTCCCGCTTCTCAGAGGGTGTCAGCAGCTCCCTGGACAGGGCTGGACTTCTCCTGAATCATTAGCAGGAAGTGGGAGTCTTCACTTAACAATCAAAAGCCTTTGGCCTTAAGTCCATATAATGACACTTGGTTACTGACCTGTCCCTTTTCTCTCTGCTGAATAGTTCCACAGGAAGAAATCCCAACTTAGCAGTTGCCTGCACTTTCTGGAGGCGGGTGTTTCTGTTTGGGGTGTGCCCCTCAGGAAAGGTAAGTCAAGAATTCAGAAAAGATAACATCCTTTTTGCCTTGGTTTCATCATTGCTGTGAAGCATTGAAGTTCTCCAGAAATGTGCTGGTTGTTACTTGGAGGACCCGGTCTCAAAACAAATGAAAAAAATCACTTTGTCATATAACCCTTGGTTTTCGCATAAGACAATAAAAAATGATAACGTGGACCAGAAGAATGTATACTACCTGTCCCCTTCTTGGGGACATGGATGAACAGTGGAAAATGTGAAGGGTGGACACGCTGGAGAAAGTTATCCCTCTCCGTCAAGCCCCAGCTCAGCACTAGAGTCTGTGAAATTCCCAACTCTAGAGTCTGGTAAAAGGATGATGGTTTTGGTTGGCCGCCTAAGGAAATTGGTGTTTTCTCCAGCGCTGTGGACTTTCTCGTTATTTTTCAGCAAATCAGTGATAGTAAACGTAACTATGAAGGAAGATGTCCCAGTTTTAAGAATTACGCGTATAATTAACCATTGGCAGCATTATTACAATTCTGAATTACAGAATAAAATAGAAAACAAAGCTTTTATTTCTGATTCTTCATCTGAAAATTTACAAAGCTCAGTAACCGTTTTCCTGTCGGATAATCATACAGAACTTCCGAGACTTTTTGTTCTGTCCTCGTGTGTTCTGGTTGCTACCGATTTCGCTTTATAGTTTTGTCACTAAAAGTAGATTTGCTTTGTATTTTTAGTAAATTTTTTTTTTTTTTAAATACAACTCTGGGATCTGACTGCATACCTAGCCTGCAAAGATTCTGTCATTCTGTACGGAGTAGTCCGGTTCAGACTGTACAACAGTATTTTAAAAGACTTGGAGGTTTTCTCTTAACTACTATTGCTTAAGATACTAAATTAATATTCATAGTATTGTTATCTTTATGGTATATCGTGAAGTTATAATGCCAGTTGAACTTACTGTGAAAAAGGCAAAATCATGAGAATGGCATACTGTGCGAATACTGTGGTAGGTGGCTCTGTGAGTAAGGCTGAGCAGATGTTCCTGTATTCTGGGGTTTGTAATTGGGTTCTCAAAACTGGTCTAGATGCAAATGTGCTGACTGTCATCAACAAAAAGTTAACTCTTGTCGTTTCTTTTAAACACATGAAATATGTCAGTTTGGTTACCTTTTTAGGGAAGCATATCTTTCTAGTTATTAGTTATCATTTACTATCATGATTTAGAAGTTATTAAAATCTGCTGCTTTATTCAGTAAAAATCTTAACCAAAGGGTTGTGTGATCTTTGATTTAAAAAAATTTGAGAGGAATTTTTTTTCTCACTGGATCTCAATGATTTTATTAATAAAGAGTTTTTTTTTAAGTACTCATAGAGTTTTTAAAATGTGTATTGGTTCACATGCTATATCTTTAGAACAAGATGTTTTTCTGAATTTTTGGCATTCATAGTTTCAATTCCATTCAACCAATATTAAGTGTCTTCCATTTACAAATAATTCACTATGTTAAACGTATTTTTAGTTCAACATTCTATAAACTAAACCTTATTTTTCACTTAACCTTGTTCTACCAAGGAATACGCAGTTATCCTAATTTTAATAAATGCTAGAAGCTTTTATAAAATTTTCCTTGTGCACTAAATGAGTTTTGGCCCATACCCAGCGACTGCGATGAATGTATAATGAAATAACGTTTTGAAAGCAGGCCCGATACACTAGGTATTTACTGAGCTTCTATTATATGTCCAGTATCGTGCTTCCTGAACGCTGCTTCTCTGTGCCAGTCACACTGTTTTCTTTATACATTAAAAGTGGAGGAGATGTGTAGTTTATATGCGGTCCAGTTGCTTTGCAGTTGGACAGGAGGTTATAAGAAGAAATATAGTAAATTAGTGGAAGGGGGTTAAACTGCTCTTTTCTTCTTAAGGTTCTGCCACAAACTGACAAAAGCAGGGAACCCACAGCTGGGTGGTGGTACAAAGTACCACATGTTCTCAAAACAATCCGGCCCAGCAGGGTGCCCCTAATGGCTTCTTCGTGAAGCCTCCTGGGTCAGCTGATCTGAAGCCCTGTGACTTGCTTCCTCTCTGAGCTCTGAATGCTTTGGCTTTTTGTCATTTTGTCCTGATATAATCATTTTCCTGTGGTCTTCATTCTTTGGAGTTAATTCTTTCTCCCAGAATATTTCCTGGTTCTTTCTGGAGACAATAATGTCTTCTAGGGAACTGAGTATTCACTCGCCTTGAACGTAGCATCCGTAGAGCTTGCTGTGTCTGTGTTCTTTCTCCTTAATCACACCCCCTTTAAAAAACCCTCTGCCCCAGGTTACTGGGTGAGTTTCGTTGGGTAGTTTCAGGCCTGGGAGAACAAAGGAGAAAGGACATTTCTGTTTACTCTGATGTCATAGCTGCTTTTATCAGAATGATTTCGCCCACTGGCCTTGTGTGTATTTAAAGTAGGGATAAAATAATGGAGAAATGTTAATATGTGTAAATAACAAAAAGGTAAATGTTGCGCTACTGGAGACAGAAGTGTCCTTTTAAGTAATCCGAAGAAGCATTTATAACACCCTTTATTCTTTGCTCTTTTTAAAGTCTTTGTACTTTGCAGAATTGTTAGTCACTTACTGGCCTCTATCTGAGGATGGGGAGGTTTGGAGGCAGGTGGAAAAATAGCCCGAGACTGTTGATTGGCTTATTTAACTATGTTGTTGGTCTATTACTGACCGATAGTATTTTAATTCAGAAGAACAACTATGAGCATTTGAGACATTCTTCAGTTACTTTCCTAGTTGCTGGCTTTTGTTCGCTGCCCTGACGTTGCCCCTGACTTATGGCAGCCCGATGTACGGTAGAACAAAATGCTGCCCAGTCCTGCTCCAGCCCCATGATCAGTTGTGGATCAGGCCATTGTGATCCACGGGGTTTTTATTGGCTGATTTTCAGAAGTAGTCACCAAACCTTTCTTCCTAGTCCGTCTTAGTCTGGAAATTCCACCAAAACCTATTTAGCATCATAGAAAAACCCAAGCCACCACTGACAGACAAGTGGTGGCCATACATGAAGTGCGTTGGCTGGGAATCGAACTCAGGTCTCCCCCATGGAAGGTGAGAATTCTACCACCAAACCCAACCCATGTCGTCTAGTCAGTTCCGACTCATGACGACCCTGTAGGACAGAGTAGGACTGCCTCATAAGGTTTCCAAGGCTGTAATCTTTAGGGAAGCAGACTGTGACATCGTTCTCCCACGGAGCGGCTAGTGGGTTTGAACCTCCAACCTTTTGGTTAGCAGCCGGGCGCTTAACCACTGTGCTACCAAGGCTTATTGAACTGCCACTGCCCTCTAAATGAGGGTACCTTTCTATTTTAGTGAAATGCTGTTTTTCCAGACCTAATGGTCTGAGACTGGAGGATCCCCAGAAAGCATGGCCCTCAGAGTCTCTTGTCAACCCAGAACTAAAACCATTCCCGAGGCCGACTCTTCAGACAAAGATTGGACTGGACTATGGGACATAAAATGATACTTGTTAAGAGTGTGTTTCTTAGCTCAAGTAGATACAAGAGACTAAACGGGCAGCTCCTGTCCGGAGGTGAGATGAGAAGGCAGAGAGAGGGTCAGGAGCTGGTTGAATGGACACGGGAAATAGGGTAGAAAGGAGGAGTGTGCTGTCACAGTATAGGGAGAGCAATTAGGGTCACATAACAATGTGTATAATAATTTTTTGTATGAGAGACTAACTGGAATTGTAAACTTTCACTTAAAGTACAACAATAAAAAAAAAAGCTCTGTTTTAGTCAAAGGTTAATGCCTCATTTTTCTTTCATTCTAGGGGGAAAAAAATTGATGTCTAGATTCCATTTCCCTTCTCTTTGTTCAAGATCCTTTAGACATTCAGCAGAATTTCATTGATACCATTCTCACCAATATCACTCATTCATTAGCTGACTCTTATTTTTCATTATCAAGATTAGCTGGGCCTTATGATCTCTTTAAAATCACTCTTTATTCTCATCTCCACTGTTTGTATCCCACTAACTTTGACTTAGACTCAGACTTCAATGGACCTTCCCTTCCGTTTATTTATTTCCAACCGTGTATAAAGGAAGAGATGGTGTATTACTGCCGTCTAATGGAGAGAGAGCAAACTGCAGCAGGAGAAGCAGTGCATTTAAGGATAGTGCCTGAACCGAATAGCCTTGAGAGGTTAAATCCCTTTCACGGTTTTCTAAACGATTTCGGATACAGTCCATAACTGGAAAAAATGATGACGCAGCCCTTGCCATCTTGAAATATGTCCTTTCCTGTGTAATTGGTGATTTGCAGCCTTGTACAGCTATCATGACGAGGCCCCGGACAACAGCTGGACAGTGTAGTCGAGAATCTTAAATGGTATTTTAATGAATATGCTGATGACGGCTCAATGACACAAGGATCTCATTTTGTCACGTTCTTACCCATTCGCTTATTTTGTCAGGGGGGCTTTACCCTTTTAAGTATCAACTAATACATAGTTTTAACTTTTAAAAATATTTGAAGATGTGTGTGATAAAGGTGCCTCTCTGTAGTGCCTTAGTTATTTGTTATGTCAGGAATATTTTATAAAATTTCTACACGTACTGCAGTAGCCGGTATAGGGCCGTATGCCTTCCTGGAGTTGGTTTACTCTGAAATGTAACTTTAAATAAACATTATCCCAAGAAAACGAGAATGTTTTTTCTTAATTCAGTTAGATTGGAGCAGCACCTCCCTTCATAAAAATACTTGCAGTGGTTCTAG